CTGTGGCTCTCCCTGTCGTAGATTTCTATCATTATAACACACACACACACACACACACACACACACACACACACACACACACACACACACACACACACACACACACACACACACACACACCACGCGGCCAGAATAGCCGTTGTTGGTGGTGATAGAAGACGGCATCTGTTGCCGGTCTCTTAATTATGTGAGAGGTAATGTAAGATTACTGCAGAACGCGGGACGGAGCGAAAGCCTATATTATAGTTACGCATGGAAGTGCCGCTGTTTTACCCTGGACAATCATAACTCTACTATGCGTTGTAACGCTGGCGTGTAGCATCAGGCGGCGAGTCTCGGCGATAGTGGGGTATCTCTGATAATTTAAGACAACATTTAATAATTAATTTATTAATTAATAATTAAGACACCGTCATGATTGGTATTGCTGACGGAATTGTTGTTTTAATTTGCCACCATCACGTGAACGTGCAGATCCGAGAATTCTTATTGCGACACGCACGCACGCGCGCACGCACGCGCGCACGCACGCTCCCACACTAGAACCACCGATATAGCAATTACGTTATTTCAAGAAATTCCATCACGACAGGCAGACAGATTACCGGTGGGAGTGGTGGGGGACTGCGGGGGGTATGCGCTGCGCAAAATCACACGTTTAACTCGTTAATCCGAAAATCTTCTTATTCCTGCGAAGGCTCTGATGACGTTTAATTTTTTGGTCGCAATACGTAAACGTCCGCAGGAGATGGACACGCGCTATCTCTTTAACGTTAATAAGTCCACAGACTCAGCGTCAATAATTCGTTCGGTTAGAATTTCATTTGCTGCGAGGAAAGGTCGGCTCATTTACAAGCTACTAAGTGCTTGCTGCATACAGTACCCACATGATGCCGCTACATGCATGCGGCGGCAGAGATTTCAAAGCCACTTCATTTATTATCTGCCTGATTATTGACACAATTCGTTTCGCCTGTCTGAGGCGCTAGCGCTCACTGCGGTCGGTGACCCGGCTGTCTGCTGAAGGCCCTTCATCCCACTCCGCTAACGAACTCGACCACTGCCCTTTGTTCTTTCGAAATATTCCTGCTTGATCTATTCGCGCGCACCACCAGGGCTGTCCTCCCAAAACCATCTCGCGCCCAACACCAGGGCGTTTCGTAGGAGCCTACTCATCGGTTACCACCAGGGGTTTCTGTTCTTGCAAACACTCATACGCACCCCCATTACGTCGCCGCTCTACTAACCCTCCTCTACTACCATCATCGTCGTCATCACCTTCATCATCATCATCATCATCGTCATCGACGTCATAATCGTCGTCGTCATCATCATTATTATTGTCGTCGTCGTCGTCGTCATCGTCATCGTCATCATCATCATCATCATCATCATCATCATCATCATCATCATCATCATCATCATTATCATTACCATCATCATCGTCATCATCATCATCGTCATCATCATCGTCATCATCATCATCGTCATCATCATCATCATCATCGTCATCATCATCGTCATGAATCATTTACAGCACCGCTTCAGTGACTAAAGTACAATCCTATCAGAGACTTGGATTCGCGGAAGCCCACGCAGTTGTACTGACGGTTCCGTGAATTGTGCGAAAAATAAACGCGGCATCGAGTTTTGTCTCGCGGTCACGAATGTCAGTGGTTACACTGTGGTTATACTGTGGTTATGCTGTGGTTACACTGTGGTTATACTGTAGTTATACGGTGGTTACACTGTGGTTATACTGTGGTTACACTGTGGTTATACTGTCGTTATACTGTGGTTACACTGTGGTTGTACTGTGGTTACACTGAGGTTATACTGTGGTTGTACTGTGGTTATACTGTGTTTACACTGTGGTTACACTGTGGTTATACTGTGGTTACACTGTGGTTACACTGTGGTTACACTGTGGTTGTACTGTGGTTGTACTGTGGTTACACTGTGGTTGTACTGTGGTTACACTGTGGTTGTACTGTGGTTACACTGTGGTTACACTGTGGTTGTACTGTGGTTACACTGTGGTTGTACTGTGGTTACATTGTGGTTGTACTGTGGTTACACTGTGGTTATACTGTGGTTATACTGTGGTTACATTGTGGTTGTACTGTGGTTACACTGTGGTTATACTGTGGTTATACCGCGCGCAAACGTTTAATAACGGACGACGAGAAAGGAAGATTGCTCGCCGGGGGGGGGAATTTATTAGCGAGCGCGTACAACGTGACCGCCTTTGTTCCGCCGTAGTTCTATAGTAAACTTACGATTAACCCCCGCTATCCATATCGCGTCCATGTTGCGAGGTTTCACTCGGTATATTTTTATGGGTAAATGCGTGATTTCTGTTGATAACCACGCGCGTATTGTAGCGCGCATGATGTACCAGTATTTTATTGATGGGAGCGTATAGGAGGTATTAAGATGTCGTGAGATAGATGAGGGAATACCACTGGTTACTAATGGAATATGTAACTTCGGTGTGGTAAATTGCCTAATATTTGTATATGAGGTTATTCGTTGCTGTTATGCACCGCGTATGTACTATAAAGTAATAGTGACTGTACGTCGACTGCACTTGCCCTTGTAGAAATGCGATCGCGCTATGGGTTTAGCTCTTACCTATACCTATAATTACACCTATACCTATACGATAACCCGCCCAACTGTACAATCGTTTAAATTATAAATGTAGAAGCAGCATCCATATATACTGTCGTACTGCGCGCACAGATAAAAAAACGAACGTGTATCCGCGTGGAAAATCGTTGTGACGTTTTACTTTTGATCATATTACGATCTGGCAATGAGCTGGCACATGGCTCACTATAATACTTCTCGTGTAGTTAAGCGAACCCAGTGTTTAGTATGTTACCACGTGTCAAGTCGTTATGCAAATATAATTGAACCAAATCTACGTGTATAGATTTGATGGCAACGGATCGGCATAGTCTTTAAACGGCATATCGGTGAGTGAGACACTGATTATTAATTGGAATTGATTTATAGCGAATGCCTGTGTGTATAGTGTGCGTCGTGATGTGTCGTCTTTCTATGGTGAATATGTACTGTTATTATGCAATCAATATAAGCTTAATTTAAAGGGAAATTCTACAAGAGAACGTCTGTATTGGCCCTGTGTATGCCTGTTTGTTTTGCCCTTTCGACTGGATTAGAGGTACAAACTGTAAGCCACTGTAAGCGCTGTACGCATGATGTTCCAGTCAAAACAAAAACAAAACATTGAAC